GAATCTCAAGTCCTACCTGTCAACTCAACAGTTCAAGGGTATGGAGAGTTTCGTCATATTTATTGCCATAGATGTGAATAAGGTTAAGCAACTAATCGAAGAAACTGAACGAGGACTGTCGAAATTCCGTTATGAATTAAAGAAAAGGTGCGAATTATTCCTGTCTTAGTCAACTACATTGATGCTATTTTAAATTTTCCAGTTCGATAAGGACACTGGTATTTAGTTTATCATTGTTATTTTAGTTTATGCCTTATAATCCCTTGCACAGTCCGTACTCACAACCGATGAGCCACTTTTTTCCTTCTTACGGCTGTAAGAAGGGGTGAGTGCCTGCAGTCATTGTGGTAGTGAAAAGTAAAACCAGTGTACAAGATGAAATAACCCCTAAAACAGAAAAAGAACACGTCACAATTAATTTATCGAACTCAAACTTAATTGTTAATCTATAGTATTTCTTAACTATATTATTGGCGTTCAACGTATATTTCCTAGTCAAATAATGGCGAAAATACATTAAGGCAGTTCCACCGGTTCCCACTTATTATAATAAGTGCGCATCAACTAGTGCGCAAAACCGTCCGCCTGCTACTAAATACGCAACCGTATAGCTGTCTAAGATAACGCGAGTATTGTGTACTTTTCCAGACAACCAGACTTTCCGGTATTTAATGATTGCTTCTTTGTTTGATGAAAATTCAATAAGAACTTCCAAAACGGAGAATTTCGGTTTCTGTGACAACGTTTACATTCTCTATTACAATTCAGCCGCGTTTAACTGTGGAAAAACTTTAAATAAACGTCGGTATTTTTTCTATTCTGGCCGGCACTTTTCTGCACTGATAATTTAACTTGAATTATGCGTGTATTTGAGGCTTCAGCACTTGTAAAGTTTAGTGTTTTTGTATTTCTTGACGTTGGAGCCGCGTTTGGATCCGCTAATTATTTCTAATAGTGTGACTTTCTTGCCAAAACATTGTGCATTTTAAAAGATTGGTTCTTTTTCGAAAAGCAAAAAAACGTAGTGTTAATTTCATCAAAATTTTTTTAATCCATGTGGACTCCAGTAATTGCTTTGGTAGAGATAAAAGGTCCGCAGAATTGCATTCCTGAACGGTGTTCCCCCTATGCCTGTAGCTATAAGTATAAGATATTGCACTTTCATAGAAATTAGAAATTGGCATTCCCAATATCGTTCTCTGACGGGTTCCTACAGCCACTTTTACGGAATCAGTCACTTTTGCGGGCTATACTGAGGTTAATGGAGACATCGACGCATTAACATTAACAAAATAAAACTTTCTTATTTCTTCTGCAGAACCTAAACTTATTGTCAGAAGACATTTTTATATTGCCGCTTAAACTATGCGATAAGTTTTTACATTTACGTCTAACCTACATATCTAGCCTGTACGGTATATATACTAAGTTGTAAAATGTTGCGAACCGCTGTTAGTGAAGCTGCATTTCAATTAAATTACTAATGTGCTAGTGGTAAATTTGGCGCACAAACTTGAAGTACAGCATTGGACATTACTTCAGGAATTACGGTAGAATTATTAATTATTAGCGATGTTGAAAATTTCATCCGAACTGTGAATATTTGAAGAAAACTCATTTTATCGTTCTACGTTTGACTACTTATGCACAGAAAACTAGTGATGTTTCATGTGAACATACCTTATAGCTCATGTCAGTAACGTTTGTCTGGAAGTGATCTATCCGTTCATCAATTTGGTTCTTTTGATTGACCCAAAATTATATTCTCTCCCTATTTCCAAATTATACGGCAGTTTTCAGTCGACATAAACGTTCAAGGTAATAGCTAGTTCTGGTGTTCTCATTTTAGCGCCAATTTTCAAGTTGTAAACTGAGGTTAACCGCTTATCTTCCACAACTCACCTGTAAAAATACAAATATAATAAAAGCAAAATAATCAGCCAAGACTGATTTTGAAATTACAATTATACTCGATATTTATCAGGTCCTCTCTAAAGTTGATCGATTTTTTAGGATCATAGTTTTGCTGTCCGTGTTTTCAGATTATTATGATGTCGTTCAACAGAAGGCCTCTCGTTGAATGATGAATGTCAAACTTGTCTTGGTTAAGCAAATTGGTTCATAACTTCAGGCGATATTTTAAAAGGGGGAGCAAGGAAAAGTCTAAAGATTCCATTTAGGATCAGGATTTGTATAAAGTGATCAAAAAGAACACCAAATGGCGTTAATAATATCTCATTTTACAACAACGCTTCAGTATTACATCTTCTACTACTGT